TTAAAATATGTTTGATATTGTGATATGATACTTATTAAAACCTTTAATAACAAATAGCAAAAAAAGTATAGTGGGAGGAAAATTTGATTTTTGTGGAAAAGTAAAAGCTATCTTGAAAGGACTAAAAACTATAAAATAACTTCCACATAATAGCTTCGGAAGTCGGTGCTAAGACATAGTGTATATGAAGCATTAAATCCTCAGTAGCTATTTAGTGGATTTTTTTAACTTTATAGGGTTCCGTACCTCAAAAGGAAAAACGGAACCCTTATAGGATCACTTTATTGTCCGCCTGTCTGTCTGTCTGTCAAGACCCTTCTTCTCACGAACGCGTAGAGGTATCAAGCTGAAATTCATATGAAATACTCAAGTCTACTGTCCCTTGAAGCTGTGAAAAAATAAAACTTCTAAGCCATCTCAATCAAAAGATACAGCCCATTATGCCGCAAATTTTTGACATTCGCAAGTGATACAAAACCTAAGGGTACTTCCCGTTAACTCAGAATCTTGAAATTTGGTTCGAAGCAACGTTTTATAGTACAGTTAAAGGAAAAATTGCGAAAAGCAAAAATTTTTAGTTACATCATATAATAAAAATATTTGTAATAATTTTAAACTTATATACCTTTTTTTTTTTTATAGGATGAGGGTGACAAACGAGCACACAGTCCACCTGATGGTAAGTGGTTGCTGCGGCCCATAGACATCTACATCTATCCTCTGTTACAAATCAAAATGTAGATGCGTTGTCACCCGTGAGGACTAAGATGGAATGCCTCATTTCCAGTAAAAAGGGCCTCCGGCCACCTGCACTCACCAAGCGAAACGCAGAGGTAAACCTCTACTTCACGCTGGTTTTCTGTGAGGTCGTGGTACTACCCCGGTTCGAGCCGGCCCATCCGTGCGACAGCAAAAGCTGCCGGGTGGCTCTACCACTGTTAAACCTACGGATTTGTTCGGAACTCTCGGTGCGCGAGTCCGACTCGCACTTGGCCGCACTTTTTTTTTAGTTCTTTGACGTGGCTTTTACTTTTTATGCAAAGTCTAACTTTATGATCCTTTTGAGTGGACTTAAAAAATATCACAAGCTCTCTTATTTTTCCGCCCTTAGGGTGGAATTTATTTTTACAAATGTATTTTAGACCACCCGGAATTAAAACTATTTAATAAAAAAATAAATAAAATCGGTTTACAATTGACGAAGATAACGAGTAACATATGTACAAACATAAAAAATAACATACAACAGAATTGAGAACCTCCAGATTTTTTACAATCAGTTAAAAAGGAAGTACGGTAACGTACTATTTATCATTCATATTTTTCCACTCTTAGGGGTAGAATTTATTCTACAAATTTATTACTATAAACCAACCTGAAGTAAAACTATTTAATAGTAAAGTAAATAATGTCGGTTTACAATTCACGAAGATAACGAGTAACATATATACGTAAAAAATAACATACAACAGAATTGAGAACCTCCATATTTTTTAAAGTCGGCTAAAAAGGAAGTCTGGTAACATACTATTCATAATTAGAACACTTTTGCCTCTCACAATAAAATATGCAGACATTACAAAAGTTAATAACTGTATGAAGTGTATTGGATTAAGAATATTTAAAACAATTTTATAAAAGATGAATAGTTTGAAATTCCCGGCTGTAAAGTTGTGAGTGCATAGCACGTGTAGAATTGTTGATAAAGTATTGTATGTCAGCGGAAGCGCGACCCGCCGCCCGCTTCTGAGCACCCTGTCAATCTTTTTGTTTCACACTGACATCTCTAATTGCTTCTCACTCAGTTTACACAAAAAAGCAGATAGGTTCGCTTATGCAATACAATCTGTAAAATATAATGTTTGTTTACTGTGAGTGAGTTATATTTAATTAAAGGAATAATAAAATAAAATTTTGCAAATATGCAGTGTTAGTGTTCTTTTGCCACAAACCACGGTTTTGAGCCACCTGCATCCATCGACTTGCTGCATGTATTACCAAGTAGACTACTAGATAGAGAGACGAATCTATATATTGCTTTACTGGTGTTCTACTCGTACACATTGCACTTGTCCATTCGGGGCAGCCACTGCCAACTATTATCTTTCGTCCCTATCGGTTGTTGTTTTTCAAAGCTACTTATCCAGGTTTATTGACACTTTAGTTTATTGATCCGTTGGGTCTGGTTGGTTACCCTGGCTCTACTGTGTATACTCACTCGTATCTTTGTTATAGATTCTATTCCGAAGACAATATGCGAGCATAACCCTCTTCATAGATTGCTAAGCGGCTTGGAGCTTTGTACAATCGCTAGTGAATGACCACGTCTTAATTCACTACAGGGTTTTGACCTCGGGTAATGCAAGACTCGGTGCCCCTTTTCTATTTTTTAATTTCTTAAATTACTTTCAAATATTTTTCACAGGCCACGGGGTCATTAAATAATGCAGAACATGCAATTGACCACATTGCCTTTAGATTAATCCGGTCTGGTTCTAGTTTATTGATTTTATGTCCTATCATCATTAACAGCACGCACTGGTGGTAAACATTTGTTTTAAAGCATTGAGTAAACTGAACGAAAAGGTATGTCGTAATCTCCCAAAATGCTGCCTATCCTCTTCCTCCTATCCTCTAGTCTTGTCAGCAAATCAAAAATTTAACTTACTAATAATTAGTACGATAACGTCTCATGTAATCAAATTACTGACAGTTAAAATTACTTTCAATAAGAATTGCTTACAATTATTATTATAGAATAAGGGTGATAAACGAGCACACAGTCCACCTGATGGTAAGTGGATCGTCCATAGACATCTACATTTATCCTCATTAATAATCAAAATGCAGATGCGTTGTCACCCACGAGAACTAAGATGGAATTCCTCGTTTCCAGTAAAAAGGGTATCCGGTTCTCTACACTCATCATACGAAACCTGAACCCCTGCCCTCGACATAGACACAATAGAAACAATCGAAATGTTCATATATGATTCTTGGGACAGGGAAGGGGGGTATGACCCATTCGTGCTACAACCATAATATAGCTCCAGTATGGCTTTACCACTTATAGAATAGAATAGAAAATTATTAAATTATTATATTCTATTCATTGAAGAGACCGTAGCACCGTCCAATTTTTTACAAAAGCTTTCTCGTAGGAAATTTCTGACAAAATCTTATACAGTGCTCTTGGATTTATGTTTTCGTGCTACAACCATAATATAGCTCCAGTATGGCTTTACCACTTATAGAATAGAATAGAAAATTATTAAATTATTATATTCTATTCATTGAAGAGACCGTAGCACCGTCCAATTTTTTACAAAAGCTTTCTCGTAGGAAATTTCTGACAAAATCTTATACAGTGCTCTTGGATTTATGTTTTCGTGCTACAACCATAATATAGCTCCAGTATGACTTTACCACTTATAGAATAGAATAGAAAATTATTAAATTATTATATTCTATTCATTGAAGAGACCGTAGCACCGTCCAATTTTTTACAAAAGCTTTCTCGTAGGAAATTTCTGACAAAATCTTATACAGTGCTCTTGGATTTATGTTTTCGTGCTACAACCATAATATAGCTCCAGTATGACTTTACCACTTATAGAATAGAATAGAAAATTATTAAATTATTATATTCTATTCATTGAAGAGACCGTAGCACCGTCCAATTTTTTACAAAAGCTTTCTCGTAGGAAATTTCTGACAAAATCTTATACAGTGCTCTTGGATTTATGTTTTCGTGCTACAACCATAATATAGCTCCAGTATGGCTTTACCACTTATAGAATAGAATAGAAAATTATTCTATTCTATTCATCGAAGAGACCGTAGCACCGTCCAATTTTTTTACAAAAGCTATCTCGTAGACAATTTCTGACAAAATCTTAGACGGTGTTCTTCGATTTATGTTACTAAAATCTTTTCGGAAACCGGCTTTCACGACTCTTCATTTTTTTCATCAGCCCTTTAAAGTCCACTGCTTGACATGGCCCTAGATAGAAAGGACCTACTTTAATCGCCACGCATTTCCCTTAGTCACCTTTTACGACGCCCACGGAAAGAATTGGGGTGATTTTGGATCCTAAATCATCACCACAAGGCACCTCGAATTTGCGTAATTATAAAAAATATTTTGTTATTGATTTCTTTCATTCAGAGTATTAGAGATTTCAGAGTCCACTACTGAACAAAGGCTGCCCCATGCTGCCTTATAAAGGGAATATTTGCCATAGTTGCTACGTTTGGCAGGCGGGTTGGTAACGTTTTGCTGCTACGTTTGGCAGTTTTTTATTTTCTAGTTGGTGTAAAGAAGACGCTGCTACCCATCTCCTGGTTTGTTAATCTCTGTCGCCTCTTTCGACATCCACGGAGCGAAATGGCGTTGTGGATATTCTAACACCACCATTACGCTGTTATTGATCTTTGCAAACAAAATAACATCATCATGAGCAGCAAAATCCGCTGCTTGAAAAATCTCTCAAATGAAATTTGGAAGAATTTACTTTATTATCTTGACCCATAGTTGCGATCCATACTGAATTATAGGAATTTAAACAAATTATTATATTTTTTTAGTTTGTTTTTTAAGAGGATTGCCTCCTCTTACGAGCCTGCGGTACATTTCATTAAGATATTTTCTACAGCGGGTATTATTCAGTGGTTTAGTAGTTTTATTTGATAATGTCTATTAGGTATAATTAAAAAAAAATACCTTCTACAACTCAATCACAGGAGAGTCTCTCATTTGTCGAGAGATAATCTTGGACATGACCCGGGAGGAGCGTGTGCAAGCGCCGCCCAATAACAGCGAGCCGCCCGCCTTGCGCTCGCGCATCTCAAATGATTAACGTCACGCTTACCGACAAGAGGGCGCGGAAACAACCCTCCAAAAGAAAACATCGGTTTTAAATTTCTAACACAATTTTATAACATGAAGGGCAGTGTAGTGGATATTCGTAGTGTTAGGTCCGTGCAATAAATTTAAAAGAATGCCTAGAAAACGTGTTAACAGATCTCCGCCTGTTGAGAAGAGATCGGATGATTGTGATGATGACGATTTTTTGTTTGACGATACGCAGTCTAGTTCAGGTAATTTATCCTTTTAACCCTTTTTACTGAAAACGAGTCATTCCATCTTATTTCTCAGGGTTGACATTTTGATTCTTAATCGAGGATAAATGTAGATGTCTATGGGCCACAGCATCCACTTACCATCAGGTGGAATGTGTGCTCGTTTGTCACCTTAATCCTATAAAAAAAAACTAATAATATCTTAAAATTATTTTAATACACACCATTACAATTTGATATTATAAATATTTACGACCTTTCATAAAATCGCTTATTTTAAGTTGAAAATATCTCTATACTTGTCCCTTTTTATTGTCATTTAGTGAAGAAAGAATAGGATAGAATCATTCTTGTTCAATATAGATTACATGTAATTCTTATTGAAAGTAATTTTTTACTTTTACCACCTGTTCGGGAGAAAACTTTGGAAAGAACCAGCAAGAAACCCAACAAATTTTAAGCGATTATGAAATTGATGTTTATTTTTATGGTCGTTTTGAATTGCTGTGATAGTGCCGGAGCGGGGCGCTCTCTTGAAATCTCATATTCTCACTAAGATTGTTATCTTTGCATATATTATGTTTTATAATTTTCTTGGCGGTAAAGATGGAGTTTGTTGACGGCTCCGTGGCGCAGTGGCTTAGCAAGGAGTTGCTGCGCTGGGGGGCGCGGGTTCGAATCCCGCACGGAACAAGTATTTATATGGCCTACAAATAATTGTTCCGTGTCTGGATGTTTGTCCTTGTGCAATTTGTGTTTGTAAACTGCCTCCATGATACAGGGGAAAATCCTGGGGGTAAGGTTTTTAAAAAAGAAAAAAAAAGTTTTAGCGGGATCTAAGCCGCCGGCGGATTCCTGCTGCTGTATAATACGAGTACATATCTATTTATATCTCTATGTATATATTTATAAAAATCAATTGCTGTCCATTAGTTTTGCTAAAACTTCAAAACGGCTGGAACGATTGTGATGAAGTTATTTGTGTTTGAGTGAGTCCCTGGGTGGTTTAAATTTACAATTGAACTCGGTAGGTGGCGCTGTTATCGGGATCCAGAAATCTGTGATCTGAAATGAAGTCGGGGCGCTTCGCTAGTTTTTTTATAATTTACATGTTTAATAATGCCTTAAAGTGGATTTTGATACGTAAAAGTTGTGTGATTTTGTGCATTAAATGGCTGTTCACGTAAATTATTGGTGGAAACGATGAAATAAGTGCTCCGATGGACCGATAGTGATGCGAACCTCAAATAATGTTATACTACGAAGGTTGTAGCACGAATTCGTCGGCTCGACCGGGGAAGGACCACGCTCTCACAGAATACCAACGAAAAATAGCAGCTTAATGCTGCTACTGCTAATACTGGAAAAGAGGCATTCCATCTTTTTGTCACGGCTGACGACGCATCTGCATTTTGATTTGCAAACAAGGATAGATGTAGCTGTCTATGGGCCTCAACAACTACTTACTATCAGGTGGACTGTGAGCTCGCTTGGCACCCTCATCCTATAAAAAAAACATTATATCTCGGATATATGGTGAGTTTAGAGAACCGGAGATCCTTTTTACTGGAAAAGAGGCAATCCATTTTAGTCCTCACGCTTGATAACGCATCTGTATTTTGATTCTTTAGTGAGGATAGATGTAGATGTCTATGGGTCACAGCAACCACTTGTCATCAGGTGGACTGTGTGCTCACTTGTCACCCTTATCCTATAAAAAAAAACATTATATCGGTTATGTGTTTCCTATGATGAGTGTAGAGAACTGGAGATCCTTTTTACTGGAAAAGAGGCATTCCATCTTAGTTCTCTGAACTGACAATGCATCTGCATTTTGATTCGCAAACGAGGATAAATGTAGATGTCAATGGGCCACGGCAACCACTTACGATCAGGTGGACTGTGTGCTCGTTTGTCACATTTTTCCTATAAAAAAAATAATGTGTCTGCTTAGGCGCTTTGAGACGCTATCTTCATCGATTATCTAATCATAAGTCACCATTATTATTCATTACAGCCCTTCACAAGTCCACTGCTGAACATACGCCTTCCCCAAAGAATGCCACAAAGCAAGGTCCTGAGCCACCTGCATCCATCGACTTCCTGCATGTCTTACGAGTTTGTCACTCCATCAAGTAGGGGGACGCTCTACACTTCATCTATGGTACGAGGCTGCCATTCGAGAAACTTTCTTCTCCATTGGTTATCGCTTCTTCGAGCTATATGGCCGGCCCATTGCCACTTCAGCCTACTAATTCGTTGGGCTATATCGGTTCCTCTGGTTCTACTGCGGATATCCTCATTTTTAAGTCTATCACACAGATAAACCTCGATCAGGACTCTCCATAGCTCGCTGAGCGACCTTGAGCCGACTCATACGTTCAGCAGTGAAGGACCACGTCTCAGATCCATAAGTTATCATCAAATCTAGTTACATAGGGTAGAGTGTGTTAGTTTGTCGTCTTAAATATATACAAATGTTTGTAAATTTGTAAAGGCGTGTGAACATAATAATTGTGTTTTATAGATATGTCTTTTGCTTGCGTCAATATTATATAAACTATACGAGTATAAAATTAATTAAAGGAGATTCTCAGGTCAAAGATAAACTTAAAACAATGACTTACGATGGCAATAAATATTGCATACATTTGAAAATTACGATGGTAACAGAATATAATATTAATCTTGAAGACAGTTTGCGTATAGTTACCGCGTTATTTGTGCAGGAAGAAGTTCACACGAGCCGCAACACAGAAACGCAGCTAACGCAAGAGAACGAGCAAGGATGCGAGTTCTCTCGAAAGCATTTTGCAGGTATGGGTATTTATAAAAGTACAGACCATGAACGTTCACTTTGGCGCTAAGTTCCAATGGATACCAACACAACCGAGAGAATGTGTTGGTATCCACTGAATGATGTTATCTCAGAACAACAATTATACACATAACCCTATTGTGGAACCTTTGCCATTTTTGAAAGGACTTAAAATTCTATTAATTTCTTTATATTGCCGTAATCGGTTAAAAGTATAGGTTAAAAGTCAGTTTAACAAAACATGGCAAAATAACCGTCACATCGTGGCATCACTAGTATGGTAACTTTGACAAGTCAGTTTTATGGATAAATATGAAGACCACCATGTTATAAACAAAAATTTAATTTCCTAAGCATTAATATTACCTTAATACAAAGATATTGATACCTACTTTCAGTATTTCAAACAAAATCAACAAATGTTCTGAAGTAATTAATTATTAAATTTTCATTCAAAAAATGGCATATCTCGAAAAACGTTACGTTGTCCGTCTTAGTCGTAATTTTGTACCTGTACATCAGGGATGGCAAAGTTAACTTCCATTGGTAAACTTGCCAGACTTGCCACCAAAACCAAGCCAAAGCTATACTCAACTTAGTCTAAGAACACTTCCACACATGCATCTAAAATTGTTAGCAACCAACAACATTTTTAACAGGTTTTAGTTTGCTTTTAGTTATGAATTAGTACTGTGACGCAAAAAGGAAATCCATCAACTCTCTCACACGCGTGGATTTCGTAAGAGGGGATTTAGGAGAATCTCTGTAAGTACTAGTGGCGATATATTTTCATGTCTATGCTAGATGGCAATTCGCAGGCCGGCAACGGTAAGCAGGTTTTCTCTCATTTCTGAGAAGATTTTTAGCAATTAATCGATGTTTTTCTTTGCCGTTGAGCATTTGTCAACATTATCCTGTAAAGGGGTGAATACTAAACACTAAATATATGTATACATTTTGTGTATACAATCAAAGTAAATATATTTTTCAGTTAAAGGCTGTATAATTTGCAGGCGTTGAGCTTTTTATATAGTTTCATATGTCTATTAATGATGCGTATATGTTTGACCTGACAGAAAACTGAATGATAAAGTTCCATTACATTCCTACATACATACGTACAGAAATATCAAGCTAATAACTGTGTGCTAAAAAGCTTGCGTTCATGCCTATGCAAATATAGCATTTGCGTTAACTGCTCTCTTTAGCGACCCTTATGATAAGTCTATCCTGCATTAAAGAGGCTTCTGCCTAGTAGTGGACTGCTGCTGCTGCAACCTAGAGTTACCAATTATTATGACGTAATATTATATCGTATATAGGACGTAGGATTATTCAGAATCTGGGTCACGACGCTCTTGCAAGGCTTGTATAATTTATTCTAGTTCACGTTACCAGACTAAAGCGATCGTGTATGGCGCTGCGCCGTTACTGCATAAGAGAATTTATATGTTAACACTTCTACTGTTCGGTTTGTAGACACTAGACGTAATGCAATAACAATGACCGGTATGTGGGTCACGGGACAGTGAAAGTCTTAAAGTATTTTATACAATTGTTATCATTATCCAGGTTGAAAACAACACTGCCATGGGTGCCAGCGGATACAAAGCTGTCAAAGCTGGACACGCTGCGACTTGCGGCCTCGTATATCGCACATTTACGGGCGCTGTTGCACGAGCCGCGTTCTGCACACACTCCGCCGCACCCGCTGAGCCTAGTTAGTATTCTTCTTAGTTGACTTGTAGATAATGCCAAAAACTACTTTGTAATTCTCTATTAATGTAATCAAACTTTTGTGTATTTCAAGTTATTTAGTCTCATGTTCAATTACACATTAGGTGTTACCACACCAATCGATTGATCGTCAATACCATTGATCGACGTCGATCGATGTTGATCAATTGGTGTGGTAGCTTTAGCTGATCGACGGATGCTGATCGATAAAACGTTGTTTAATCATCGGTCGATGTCGATCGATAATTAATTGATATGGTTGTGGGCTCATCATCAGTATCTTTCGAAATATATTTAGAAGAGGCCGCGTTATTGTTGGCCAGTACGCTCTTGCTCATAGAGACGCAAACGCAAAAGACTCTGAATGCGACCGTTTTTTAAGACCAGAGATACCTATATAATTATAAAGATAAAAAATATAGAATTATAAATAGACGTCTAATAAAAATGGACGCCTATACTATTCTATTCTATATTTATTTATTTTGTTCTATATTTCTTTATAATATCTGTGTGTGTGTGTGTGTGTGTGTGTGTGTGTGTGTGTGTGTGTGTGTGTGTGTGTGTGTGTGTGTGTGTGTGTGTGTGTGTGTATGTGTGTGTGTGTGTATGTACTTCTGTACATTTGTTAAAATTGATGTTACAAATAGCCACAAAATGGGAAGTTGATAGTGATAACAGATTGAACTGCACCCACACTCTTTATTATTTTAGACGTATTACTACGCGAATACTCGTGTCTCTGACATACCTTCCAAACATCCTCCGATTTATTTCAGTAGCGTGTAACAACAACCCGCTTTAATTAGCATCGTAGGAGGTAGGACTTTCTTTTTTTTTATATTTGCTGTATTCCGATATGAAGGGCATAAAGAACCATTATAATTACTGGATGATAGGCGTTCTATTGAGTTCTCAGAGGTGACAAGACATATTTATTTGAAGTTAGTTACAGATGTCCGCGGGATGTAGTAATCATTAACAATCAGGTAGAATATAACTTACCTTACCACTTCCATGTTATAAAAAATCATTTTGCAGTCTCGTAATTTAATCTTTATATAGTAGAAAAGTGAGTTATCAATCACGACGTCATTAACATAAATAGAAAAACAAAACGACGCTGAAAACCGAGGACCCGCCCACAGAACGGTTAACATAATTGTTGACGATTTATCTCCTGTCACGTTTGTCATCCCCATAATTCGTAAGAGCGGGCACGAGCCCGGCTGTATATCACGACACTTGCCAAACGCCACAGCGGCGAATTGCTGTCGTCGAAGGATTAGGAAACACGTTCCACGAAGGCCTCGCGCATGATCTATAGTGGGATTAGTGTAAAAATGCATTCATTTCGAAAAACGAACACCTTTATAACAGTTATTTGGCAAAAACAAAGTTTTTTTTCTCCGTTTGTGACTACAAGGTTTTAGACATTACCAGTAACTGTTGATATGATTCGATAAATAAAATTTTGGGTAAAATACTTCGACAATAGTTCGGTAATAATATGGAAATAATAGTTAAAAATCAATCGCATTTTCTGCGGATGTGTAATGAAAAGTTTTAAATCGCGGTTTTATTTCAAGTATGTTCAGTGTTCATTTCTAAGCTTAGGAAGCCATACAGTCCATTTACCAAGTACATTCGAAAGGCGTCAAGACCAGGGTCGATCAAGCGGGGTTCATAATCTTAGTTAAGGCGCAAGACCCATGCCCTCAATAGTTTTATTAACCACATTTTTATAGAAATAGGGTGACAAACGACCACACAGTCCACCTGATGGTAAGTGGTTGCTGAGGCCCATATTCATCTACATCTATCCTCGTCTCCGAATCAAAATGCAGATGCGTTGTCAGCCTTGAGGACTAAGATGGAATGTCTCTTTTCCATTAATAAGGGTCTCCGGTTCTCTACACTCACCATGCGAAACACTGTGAGAGCGTGGTCCTTTCCCGGTCGAGCCGACCCATTCGTGCTACAACTATACAATAAATATAGCTGCAGCTTGGCTCTACCACGTAAAAACCTTACAGCCCAAGACCTTGAGACCTTGAGGGCGATAACTATGACTCACTAAAATAAAAACGGCACAGGGCAGGACATAATTTATGTTGCATGTTAATCGTTCCTACTATATATAGTATCATCCGTCAACTGCTAAACACAGTTCTTCCCCATACAATGCATCTTACGGGGGATGGGGATAATTTCCATAGATATCACGCTTGCAAGTGGGTTAGTAAGATTCATGGTAGCGAGAAACTTCTTAACCGCATAGAGTGGTGTGTGGATCCACTATCCCATATCGTACCGTGGGTTGTTTTCATATTTATTTGTTTTTAATGACATGGACATGGTTAATCCCTCCGTGCGTGTAGGAAGAGGTGACAAAGGGAAATTGAAACAGGGGATGGGCAGCAGCATATTCCTGATAACAACTTAAAATTATTAAAAACTGCGGATGACCACCTGGCATAGCAACTGTGGCAAAATCCTCTATGAGGCAAACTATGGGGGAAGCCTATGTGTGTGAACTTTTATAGGCTGTAATGGTAATGGTAAGACACCACTAGATAAGATCACCAGTGACGCAACCACTCTTCACACAATCACAATAAGATGAGATGAGGATGACCTGATAACCATCCTGAGAAAACCCACGTGTCTCATAAAATATAAGAAACCTAGAGTAGTAGTGGCATTCAATAATTACATAGGAGTTCAGAGGAACTTACGAACGAACGTAAACTACCAGAGGGTAAGAAATTCTCTTAGTGTATGTAGAGCCAGTATTTACATACTGTAGCGTTTTTTGTTTGAGGTAGGCAGGCATCAAATGGTCAGTCAGGTAATTTGTCATTCTGACTGTAATTTTATAAAAAACTTAGTGAGATTCAATTGCAAATGTATTAATTATATCTATATCACTTACCATAACGTGGACCGTTAGTTCTTTTTACTTTGACACTTTAAATGTAACGTCATATTATTATTTTCGTACGTAGTAGAGCCATGTGGCAGCTAAATTATGGTTGTAGCATGAATGGGTCGGCTCGACCGGGAAAGTACCACGCTTTAACAGAATACCAGCGTGAAATAGCATCTTAATATTGCTGTGTTTCGTATGCTGAGAGAACTGGAGATCCTTTTTACTGGAAACGAGACATTCCATTTTAGTCCTCGGGGTGATGACGCACCTGCATTTTGATACTTAATCGTGGGTAGATCTACATGTCTGTGAGCCACAGCAGCGTTCTAGTTTGTCACTCTTGTCCTATAAAAATGTTATAAAATGTCAATAATTGCATTACAAATCTTACTAATATAGTATTTATTTCATTTTGCGATAAAATAATTCACTGATTTCCTAGGATATGCCAAATGTACATAGTTCAGTAACATGGAGGCTCCTTCAATATCCGATACAGCCTGTCAAAAGTTAGCGCTGGACATAGGCCTCCCTCATAGATTACCTCATAGAGGAAATATTTGTCATAGCAATCCCGTACGGAACAAGTATTTGTATGGCCTACAAATAATTGTTCCGGATCTGGATGTTTGTCCTCGTGCAATTTATGTTTGTAAACTGCCTCCATGATACAGGAGAAAGTCCTAGTGTGGTGGTAACGTTTTTTTAAAAAAAGAAGAAGAACTTAGCAGGCGAGTTGGCAACCGCGGTTTTTTAATATAGTGCTATTAGTAAGACGCTGATCCCTATCTCTTGATTTGTATCCCTCTGTCGCTTTTTAAGACATCCACGGGACAATAAAAAAAAAGATAAAAAATAACAATAATAAAAATATGAAGTAATGTATATTCTTATACCACCACTACACCTTAATTTTCTATATCTTCAAACCATTAATGGCTTATATTTAACAAGTAATGCATAGATAATAAAAATACAAATTAGGGTTGTCTTGTATCAAAAATTATTATCAAGAATTTTCTTTATTTAGAAATTAAAATGAATTTATTATTTTAAACACCGAAAACATCTTGTTTCAAAAACAGCTATGCATAGATATAGTAGTATATAGTATATAATAGTAGTTTTTATAGTTGTCGTGTGTGTTCTTTTAGTTTTTGCAATCCTTTTTTTTTTCAAGAAAAATATTAAGGTTCAAGTAGTTATACTTCGACTAAGCGGTTCTTCCTCTATACGATAAACAAACCAAAGTCAAATATCTCCAACTGGAATACGGGCTAAAACGATAGAAACAAAAAGGTTATAACAATAAACAGTAGAATTTTACGCTCGAAGCGCGCGTTGACCAAAAGTTTGCAGCTGTTGCATGTATAAATAAAATTTATCTCCGGACGTTAAAGAGATGCTACGGTTTATTGTTTTCATGATCCTTTTGTTTTAATGGTAGATTAAGCGCGCTGTTTTAGCAAGTAGATTTTATTGTGAATTTGTGCTTTTATTTCTTCCTTTTTAAAAACTTCAACCCCTCCCACATTAGAATTTCTTCTGTACATTGGAGGCGTAAGTGCATAAACGCATAAACGCCTACTAGAACCACTATCGAAGTGAAAATAGTTTAATGCTGCTGTGTTTTGTATGGTGAGTGTAGAGAACTGGAGATCCTTTTTACTGGAATCTCTCAGGGATGGCAACGCATCTGCATTTTGATATCTAATAGATGTGGATGGAGGTGTCCATGGCCGGCATGAACACCACATCTATTACGAATTAATACACAAATTCTTCCCCATCGGTTGTCGGTTCTTCGAGCTATATGGCCGGCCCATTGCCACTTCAGCTTACTAATCCGTTGGGCTATGTCGGACACTCTAGTACTACTGCGGATATCCTCATTTCTGAGTTTATCACGCAGAGAAACTCCGAGCATAGCCCTCTCCATAGCTCGCTGAGCGACCTTGAGCTTCCTCATCCGGCCAGCAGTGAAGGACCACGTCTCAGTTCCGTATGTCAACCGATGGGGAAGAAAGGTTCTCGAGTGGCAGCCTCGTACCGGCAGGCGAAGTGTAGGGCGTCCCCCCACTAGATGGAGTGACGACCTGGTAAGATATGCAGGAAGTCGATGGATGCAGGTGGCTCAGGACCGTGCTTTGTGGCATTCTTTGGGGGAGGCCTATGTTCAGCAGTGGACTTGTGAAGGGCTGTAATGATGATGATGATGATGACACAAATTAAAAAACGAATCCTTAATTTTGATTTTTCTGCCGACTTCCAAAAAGAAGACGGTACTCAATTCGACGCGTATGTTTTTTTTATGTGTGTTACCTCATAACTTTTTACTGGATGGACCGATTTCGATGATTCTTTTTTTATATGAAAGCTGATACTTTTCGTGTGGTCCCATATGAATTTGATCAAGGTCAGACCAATAGTTTTTGAGTTATTTGAGTTATTCTTAATAACTTATATTGAAGTCGGCTGTACAAAATTTTAAATTTTAAATTATGTTCAACACGATCCAATTGCATTTATATGGATTTTCACACTAAAATATTATTTTTATCTTGTACAATAACGTCTAAAATTTTTTTAAGTCTTGCATAAATATGCCCAACTCAACATAGGGTTTATTTACATCCGATGAAGTGTTTATTTAAATATGGGGAAAAAACTGAGGTCAAGGGTTTACGCAACAGCTTTGCAATATTTTGTTTTGCTACATGGGAGGTCTTCAAAAAATATAAATCTACCCTGATTAAATTTTTCTGCCGACTTCCAAAAAGGAGACGGTACTCAATTCGAGTGTATGCTTTTTTTTTTAAATGTGTTACCTCATAACTTTGTACTGGGGGAACCGATTTCGATTATTCTTTTTTTATATTAAAGCTGATAGTTCTCGTGTGGTTCCATATGAATTTGATCAAGGTCAGACCAATGGTTATTGAGTTATTCTTAAATAACTTATATTGAAGTCGGCTGTACAAAATTTTTAATTTTAAATTATTTTGAATAGTTTATATAATTTATATAAAGCAACAGTGACCGTTTTCATATTCCCGCTTTAAAAAGAATTAACTAGTACATATTAAAATGTTACAGAAAAAATGTTCATATTTCATCGCTTTATATTTTCAAAGGGTTAAAATTATTCCCTATATGAGAAGCTGGTTCTTCTTCATCATCAGAGCATAAAAGCTACTGCTAGACATGGGCCTCCACCGCTAAAGGAATGGCAGGTGGTTTGATGATTTCAGTATCACACGTCTTGCATAGTCAATCTAAGCATTTTACGTCTAGCGTAAAAAAAAATATTGCCATCTATCGATAGCCTCTCTGGCATATCCCATAGCCACCTCTTGCGACATCTACGGGCCACGGAAATGGTGGGCAGAGATGTACAAGATACCTAATTAAAAATATCTGGATTGATACGTTTATTCCAGATAGGTAAGTACTTTAGATAAAATATCTGAGATATCAGATACAAAATACGTCTAAATACTTTTATAAAATAAAATACTCTTTAATAACATATTATTGTTAATGTTAAGTTAAGGTTTATTGGTGTTGGTTAAATTAATTATGTACAGAGAACACCAGTTCTTCAAACATTTTATCACTCATCTTTCTTCGATGAGGTGTCATTATCATCCCCCTTAAAAGTGAAGAGTCGCTTTACATGGTCGGAATTCGACAAACAGGTGTTATATTTTAAAAATATTTTTGTGGGATAAAAATTTAAACTCTTTAGGCTAATGTCTTTATTTTGAAATTCTTTCTAAGTTAGCAGTGCTGCCAGTAGACGCTTTTGCTAGTTGCAATAGAGGAATCTGAGTCCTCTAAAAACATATATAAGATTCGTCTTTTGTCTTTATGTCTAAATACGTATGTAATCAGAAACCAAAATAATGTTTTTAAATACAAAATACCCCCCCCCCCCCCCCTCCTCCTCGCTAAACATCTCACGTAATTAATGGAGACCCCCTTATAATTAATTCCTTGATAAATATCCCATCTAATGCTAAAAGTAAACAGGCTTCTTTTCTTTAAAATATTTTCATTTAATATATTATATTTGATAGTAAGTGATTACAAAGGCGAAGATTCCTTTTATCAAATTATTATTTTTTTTAAATTGCATTACAACACACTTTAACGAGCAGTCACTCACCGACATAAAACGTGATCATTTGAAATTTGAATTCAGAAGAAAAGAGCGAAACCGAATTTAATGATGTGGTGTTTGTTTATTTTCTCTAAAAAAGATAGAAATGATAGAGACTTGTCTCCGCCTAGAAGTCCGTCTAGACTCTATATTATATAAAGAGGAGTAAAGAAGAGGACTAAAGAAAGAGGGACCAACCTACATATTACTACCTCTAATCAAAAGTATTACCAGGTATTTGGGGTGATAACACAGCTGTGGCTTTCTATGTTAAAGTGTGTGTTCATTGGCTGCATTCGCCACATAACATCAGGTGGACTGTTACCTAGTCTTTCACTCTAATGTTATAAAACAACTGTACTTATACAATATGCTTAGCAGACGTGTAATTCTAAATATTTTTTACAGGCGTGGCCGTTTGCTTTCCAACACGGAGGCGCCTTAAGTTGTGCTATTTCACAAAGATGGAACATCAATTCACAAGCAAATGATCCTTCTAGTATAAATAGCCGGAACAGTAACATGCAAGTACAGGATAATCTTCAAAACGTTATCAATTGCAACGATAATTACGGACACGATTATTCCGAAAATGATTATGAAGATAGAGGTTACGAAGAATTGAACGACTCATCAGGAACCCCTATGCAATATTGTAACTACGGTTACAAAGAGGATTATTGTGAAATGAGAAACTCACACCCTTGCGATAGTCTTATGAATAACGTGTAAATAAAAAAATATGAATAGTAACATATGTATGATCGGCAGATTTAACTCAGTCATTGTAATTCCAAAGGATATTTAAATAAATAAGATATTTACAGCCATTTTGATTTTTGTACCTTTCGTTTGTCAATTGTGAATTGTTTTAATACTAAGATATAGAGGACGTGAGGGTAATATGGTCATCCGGTTAATATGGTCACTTTCTTATAACTCAAAAACTACAGCCTAATTTGCATAGATGGCTTTATGATAGCTCTTCGTCAGTCATTCAAATAATAAAGAGTCAATAGGCCGCCGCTTTATCGACGCCATTTTGACAGTTGATATTATAGTAGGTAAGTACGTGAGGGTAATATAATCACCTTAAGCTTTATCGGCCTATAAAACCAAAATTAGGAAGAGAACAGAAAAAAAAAAACACAAGGTCGTATTCTATAACTAATATATTAAGAAAAAAATAGCAAACAAGCTTTGGAAATAATTAGGAACACTTCGAAAAATCTACTTAAAAAAAATTAACTACACTACACTGTACACAAAAATCGACTAAAATATTTACAATAATATCAACTGTCAAAATGACGTCGATAAAGGAGCGCCTTTTTGACCCTTTATTATTTGATAAACTGATCAAGAGCTATCGTATCACAGAGCGTTCTATGCAAACGACGCTGTAGTTTTTGAGTTAAACGAAAGTGACCATATTAACCGGATGACTATATTACCCTCACCTACTACAGTTAGTTTTTTTTAAGTTGATTTTTCGAAGTGTTGCTAATTATTGCCAAGGCTTATTTGTTATTTTTTTCTATATTAGTTGTAGTATACGACATTGTGTATTTGTCTCTGTCCTCCTCCTAGTTTTGGTTTTATAAGGCGGCAAAGCTTAAGGTGACCATATTACCCTCACGTACCTTATATGTAGTGATGACGACGCAGGGTGACTCGCAGCAACTGGATGGGCAAAGCAAAAAATTGATTATAAGTATTATTATAAATAAAAAAATAAGTCGGGAGCGGTAAGCTGAAGTAGCAATAATAATAAATAATCATTTATTTCAATCCATCAGATCATAGTTATAGTAGTACATTTGAAATGAAATTTAAATTTTGAATTGTATATGAATTAAATTAAAATAAAATTGAATTATATTAAAATAAAATTATTAACCAGACTTAAAACCATCAAAACCAAATTAACATCATTAAATATAAAAATCAATAATATGACTGCCTCTGAGTCATTTGTTTGTTTGTCCTTACACTAATCATATAACAATGATTAATGTACTGACAATCAAAACTGTTCTCAAATACGCTCAAGATGGTGTTGGAGGTGGTCCGGAGCCTGCGCCCCAGAGATGTGCACCGCTTTCGCATCGTCGTGTAGAAACAGTCGACACGGGCGTCGGCGAACATCCCTGACGCGCTGCAGTGCCCAGGCAGTCCCAACAGCACCCTGAACGCATAATTATATTGCTCACGGAGTGCGTTGTACTGCTTCTGGGTATATGACACCCACAAGCTGGCCGTGTACAGGCACGTACAAAATGCTGAATCCCAGTCGGCCATATAGCTCGAAAACTTGACAACTGATGGGGAAGAAAGATTCTCAAGTGATAATACTACCGACAAATGAAGTATAAGGCGGCCCCCCACTAGATGAAGTGACGACCTAGTAAGAGATCCTGCATCTCTTACCAGGAAGTCTATGGATGCAGGTGGCTCAAGACCGTGCTTTGTGACATTCCTTCAGGGAGGTCTATATTCGCAGTGGACTTGTAAGTTATCGTGTATTCAAATATCGTTAAAGATATAGGTAGAGCCATGTTTGATTTTATACGACATGTTTTCTAAATCAAAAACATCATGAACAACAAAGTTCATGCGGTGATATTGTAATTTATTGTATGAATGTGAACGGAGGGTTATGTTTTTAAAATTTAATGGTAACTATATTTGATTTTTTTCAAAGAATATTATTTATTAAAACTAAAATTTGCAGGAACGGGAATAATCTTTAATTGTTGAGTGCTGCGGCTTGCGGGTTATATCCAAAATCAAAATAAGTCAGCTTTTTTTATCCTTGTGACGTTTGATTCTGTAATATAAATTAAGTGATTACTTTTAAAAAAATGTTAATAACATGTTTAATTAGTTTTATCTTTTTTATATATGCAAATTAATGTTTCTTTTTTAGAATTTTTTTTGAATCTTTCTTTTATACTAATGAATGTTTCTTTGTTGTTGGTCCAATATGCGTTCCTGTATCATTGACACATCTCTGACAAAAAATAATATTTGTCTGTAAGTTTGTGTGTTCTATACGTTACTGTACCATTTTACTGTACCATATATTTTGGTGGGCTGTGGTACGTGCGCCCGCGAATTTTTCTGACAAAAGCATTAGGTATACCGAATGCCTGGCAAAGGTAGTTTTTAATATATAAAAATAACTAAAATTTGACGTTAATTAATCAAATTTCCTTTCAAGTCGATCTAAGAACATGTGAAAGTTGAGTCACCGACAGTGGAGGTAACTCGATAGCTTAGCAAAGTGGAACCGCTTTGACACTCCGGAGAATCTGGCAAAACAAACACAAAATTATTTGTATGCAAAAAATATACTCCGCGAAAATAAATAGTTTTGAACGCTAGTTGCTATTTATATTATTAAAATTGGTATAGAAGAAAATGGCGAACATTATGCTATAAGAACACATTTATGTCGTCTGTACATTTTAAAAATTAAATATTAATCACGTATTAACGATCGTAAAATGTGATCTTTGCTCAACGCGTTAGCTGGAAAAGAAACAGCAAATTTCATATGTGGTAGAACCTTGCTGCAGCTATATTAATAGTATAGTTGTAGCACGAATGGGTCGGCTCGACCGGGGATGCACCACGCTCTCACAGAATATCAGCGTAAAATAGCAGTTTAATGCTGCTGTGTTTCGTATGGTGAGTGTAGAGAACCGGAGACCCTTTTTACTTGGAAAAGAGGCATTCTATCTTAATCCTCACGGCTGACAACGCATCTGCATTTTAATTCGCAAACGAAGATAGATGTAGGTGTCTATGGGCCACAGCAATCACTTACCATCAGGTGAACTCGTGCTCGTTTGTCATCCTTATTCTATAAAAAGAAAACGAATGTCTCATATTTTTTCCAACTCTCTTTCTCCCCAACCGAAAATTCAAATTTTTATTTCGTTCTATATTTAAGTAACCGCATCTTATAAGTATATATTTGCATTGCCATGTCCGTTGCTTGGCGGGCAGGTTGGTAAAAGCGATTCTTATTAATTTGAGTTTTTATCAAGAAGCTGCTGCTGCTCATTTCTTGTTTTATTTCTCACTATCACGTCTTACGATACCCACAGGATGATATGCGGTAGCGGACTCATTACGCCTCTAACACACAGCTACATTATAGAGACAGTTGTGTATGATTTCTCAGTTGTGTTCACGCGAGTAAGTAACGATATTTTCTACGTTAACGATATTTTTTAGACATCAGCTTAGGTTTTATAGCATTTGGCCATGACTCCGGTGAGTGTCCCCCTGGAACCGTCGGTGAGATGCACGTCATGAAATTAAATTGATATTTCCCTAGTCACCTGAAACCGATTACGAATAAGTAAAATTAAATAATTTACCCACTTTTAAAGCCTGTCACAAATATTATATTGTTTGTATTATATTTATTTACTAGCTAGCCGCCCTGGCTTCGTCTGAGTTCCAGGATCTCCGGGATCAATAAAGGTAGCGTTATTTACCATTATTATATCAATTATTCGTTTTTTTTTTCCACCAAATTTTACGGATAAAATATGGTCTAGATCACTCCTGGCATTACTCTCTGTTTAATAGCAGAACTGATTGCATTTCATTTTCATTACAATCAGTTCTGCTATTCCGGAGATTAGCCCGGACAGACAGACAAACATTTGTAAAATTGTTATTCACGTCTCAATGGTATACAAATGACCTACTTTAGGTTAATAATTAATATAAACAGTTATTGTACCATCTCAATTTAGTGTATAATTTTGTATAGATGTATAGGTAGATAAAATTTTTGTGCAAGGACATTCAAAGAAATAGGGATACTAATTTATGTAAAAGATAGGAGATATGCGACAGAGTCTTGGACCGTAATATTTTTTTTAAAACGTTACAACCACACTAGGATTTTGTCCTGTATCGTGGAGGCAGCTTACATACATAAATTGCACGAGGACAAACATCCAGACCCGGAACAATTATTTGTAGGCCGTACAAATAGTTGTTCCGTGCGGGATTCGAACCCGTGGCCCCCAGCGTAACAACTGTAAATATTACTCACTACTTACTTTTATATACAATTGCGGTACATACCGAAGAAAAACACCACGAGGAAACCGGAACTTCTGAAAAATTTAAAAATATTCTGAGGACATATTTCAGTCCGCTACCAAATATTAATAGCCAGTAACAAAGGGAGGAGATGGTCAGGAGCGTCTGGTTAGTAACAGGTAAGAAATAAATAAACTGCAGACGCTAACCCGCCTGCTAAGCGTAGGATGATATGCTGCAAAATTGTACTCTATACAATATGTGCATCTCATCAAACATAAGTGCCGCAGGTAATGTTTTTACGTAGTAGAGCCATGTTGCAGCTATATTGTTGCAGCATCAATGGTTCAGCTCAACCGGGGAAGAACCACGCTCTCACAGTACACCAGCGTAAAATAGCAGCCTAAGGCTGCTGTGTTTCGTATGGTGAGTGTAGATAACCGGAGACCCTTTTTACAGGATACGAGGCATTCCATCTCAGTCCTCAGGGGTGACAACGCATCTGCATTTTGATTCTTAAATGAGGATAAATGTAGATGTCTATGGGCCACAGCATCCACTTACCATAAGGTGGACTGTGTGCTCGTTGTCACTATTATTCTATAAAAGAAAGAGCTTGCACACTGGTATCAAATATATACGTGGTAGTCACGTCGCAGCTT